CTGCAGACCACTGACTAGAAAGTTGTGAGTACACTCGCATCTGCTGTATCCTGTCTACAGTAATAACCACTCGCTTTGGAACTCTTAGATGTTCAAAAGATCAGAGCTCTGCACTTCTAGTTTAGATACAAGTCAAAACTGTTATTATTATTTGTGAAATGTGGTGCAAAACTTCAGATACATCATTTTTAATGCATAAAAGATTGGCAATAAAGTCCACAGGGAGTAGAGTCAATATCGCTAATCTGCAACTTAACCTCAATCCGTGCTCAGTGTAGATGTAAACAGACACACGTGAGGAACTACTCTCGCCTTTTTACTTTTAAAGAAGTCTTCAAACTGGATTAATAGTGTGGTTTTGTGGACTGGATGTCATTATTTGCGGAGGACAATTTCTATGGATAATGTGGATGAGATGCTGCAGTTTAAATTTACCACTTTACGAGAGGTGAGTAACAAAGTCTTCTCATTATTTTTTGTAGTTTTGTATCTTGTGCCTCTGTTTCAGTCACTCTGTCTGCCCCTGACGCTCTGTTTTATTGGCTGTTGCTGTAGCGTTCTTCATGTTTGGTGGTTCTGATCTGACAGAGCAACTCAGAGTCACACTGACACCACACACACGAGTTGCACAGCGGTTTCAAAATAGCACAAGAAGACAAAAGTCGGGTCACACCTCCCCAAACCTAGGGAGAAGAAATCGCAGCCAAAATTGGGCAAATTCTCCTGTAGTGTGTGACGGCTTTTAGTCACTCTCAACTTTTTTGTTGAAAATCAAACACTTTAACAGGACCACAAATTGTTTTGTATTGATCACAGGCTCCTGAAAATGTTATTTGAATCAATGTGAATCAATGTTTTTTTTTTTTTTTAGTTTACAGACTATTTTAAAACATTTTTGCCAGTTATTGCAAATGTGTGTGTTGTGTCACCATATTAACTGTTGAGCATTTCACCCATAGAGATACATGTAGAACACCAAACCCTCCAATGTGATGTCACTACGAAATGTCAGTACCTTGAAAAATGTGCAGAAGGCTCGCCTCTACAAAGAACTTGCAATACCACCTCCATGGTAACAAGTAAGTGGCAGACGCTGCACTAGAAAAGTTAGAAAGTGCACCTTTTTAAACTACAGGCATTTTTCACATTTTGGATTCATTAATATCCTTTTATAACCTCATCTGTGACATCTTTAATACTTCTGCACTGTATAAATTGTAGATTTCCAGCACCAGAGCAATCTCCAAATATCTGTCTGCAGAAACAGTCCTACCTCCTGGTGCATCCTGCGCTCCTGCTGCCTCGGCACAATTAATGATCTTGCTTACAACATTAGCGCCACACAATCATGAAAAATCACTGAGAAACAAGCAGTCCCCAGACATATCCAGCTCTATTCATCTTGGGCTTTTTGCTCATTGCTTGTGTCAAACTCAGTCTCTGCTTGCTCCCAAACCCGCTCTCTTTTGGGGGCCATGCAAATCGAATACCTGCGTCTGTGGAGCAGGAGCAGTCTGTTTGAAGATAAATATGTCTAAGTCTGAGGATACGGTGCATCCTGGGCTCTGTCATGCATAAACCAGGTCTAATGCCCTTAAATGTGGGTCAAGTGGAGTGTTTGTATGTTACTTCAAGATAGAGAGAATTCAAATGCACTTTTTCACATTTGCAGATGCACCAGTAGTGAGGGACTTTTTGAAAGCATTTTCTTCTTCTTATCTGATTTTACTTCCTGAGGTCATGACATTTATTGGAGGAGTACCCATTATGCTTTTGTGTTTCAATAGCTTTTCTGAACTTTTGGAAATACAGTCTCTTAAAATATGAAATAGTTTTGTTATATGTAAAACAGTTTTGAGAAACCTTGAGGCCTATTTGTTTATCATTTATGCTGAGAGAAAATAGCTGTTCCAAGTAGTTTTGTATTATTTTGTTGTTCAATAAAAATGTTTTATACATTTGTCAGATTTTAACAATTTAACAGCAGCAATTTTGTTATTTCCCCAAAAATAACAGTGTAATGTTTTATTTCTTTGAACTCACTACTATTTAATTGTTTGTCTCATACACTTTCCCGGGAGCTCAAATTCACTTTGTCAAATTTGAGGTTCATTCATTTTAGCCACAGCTGCCCAGAGATAGACCAGCAGGAGCATACATAAGCAAGGTGGATGAAGTATCTTGCCACAGAACACACTGAAAGTATATTCAGAATTTAGCAATTCTTTTTGTCAGACACAATAGTTTATTTACCTGATTTACATACCTGATTACATTGACTACTTCCTGTAGCCTTCATCAGAAGTGTCACGTGATGGTGTAGAGCAGGGGTCATCAAACTAATCCGGCTCTCCATGCCCCTTTAACAAGCCCCCGGCCCCTCTGCCCCCACCACTTGAACTGGCCCTATAATGCAATCCTCAAAAGTTGTCATGGCCTATTTAAAAAATTATTTTTTTTTTTAGCAAATAACACATCTGCATTTTGTATTTTGTTGATTTTTTATTTATATGAAGTATTCATATTTATACTCATATTTGTGATCATCAACACAACTGCAGATTACTGTAGTGCAGTTAAGGACAGCAAAATGGCAAGTGTTAAAGTACAAAAAGTTGACAGACAGTGCCGAGTTTTCAAAGAACAGTGGACGACCAATTATTTTGTTGTTCAGTGTAAGGACTGTGCAGTTTGTCTGATATGCAAAGAAAGTGTGGCGGTTTTCAAAGAATATAATCTGCGTCATCAGGGTCAAACAATTCTGTTATATGGCCGACCAGACCCCGGCCCCCATCACAGTCAGGAGTGATAAAGTGACCCCCAGAGAAAGAAAAGTTTGGTAACCCTTGGTGTAGAGACTTGTCTTGTGGCTACTTTACTGGGTTTTGACATAAGCTTACGCCCCCCAACTGTCTGACGCGTTTTCCAGGACTGCATCTCATGTGTGTGATAAGGTGTATGTTCCCTTGGCACGGTTTATGCTCAGTCCAGAGGACCATCACTACACCATCACGTGACACTACAGGAAGTAGCTCAAACATGTAAAGCAGATAAACAAACTCCTGTCTGACAAAAAGAACTGCCAAATTCTAAGTTTGTAACTGAAGACAGAATCAAGCTTTACCAAACACTGAAAGTATGTACTGGTCGGCCCTGGGATCTACGGTAACTGCCAACCTCTTTCAATCCCAACTTTTACTCTTTTGTTAAAATTTTGTCTTCCTGAGTCATGAACTAAGACTTGTGTCAAAGATGGTTCAAGTGAGAGCACTAGACTAGAGAACAGAGGAAATATAAACTCAGATACTTTGGTCAACAGTCAGAGCGATATGTTTTATGCTCACCAACTGTTAAAACCACTGCTGTTTACCATTCGGCCTGTCTTTGCCTCACCACTCGGCAGGAAAGATTGCACATCAGAAAACCATTCTTCAAAGTTGTAGCGCATAAAAATTCAAATTTCAAAATGTGAGGTATAATATTGCTGCATAGCTCAATGTGATGGGGAACTCAGTCAGAGATTATCAGCCACAAAAAGAGGGTTTTAAGTGGCATAAAAGCAAAAATCATCAATCAACAGGCTGCTCTCCTTGGCAACGTGAATTACTACATCGCTGAGGGCCATCATCTGTTCCCATCTAGAGCTTTGAGACATTTTAAAAGTGTAGTTCGAAAGAGTTGAGTTTGCAGATGGAATATAAAGGAAAAAGCATTTACAACTTGTTTTTTTATTTGCATCATTGACAATCATACACATTCGTTGGTCTCTCAGAAAATTATTAAGTAAACACAAGACTTTAATACCAGTTGTCCATCCACCATTTGCTGTGGATCAGATAAAAGACAGTGTTCATTGCAAAAACAGATAACTGCCATTTTAAAAGGTGAGAGGCTTACAATTTACTCATTTTATAGACATGTTTTCAAAATGTATGTAATCTAAATATCATCCCATCCCCCCTTGAAAAAATCCACAATACAAAACATACTTATTGCCAATCTTTCAAAATGGAGATATCCGTTTTTGCAATTGAATTCGCAAGTATGATAGTAGAAATTAAAAGATTGTTCTTAAAAAAAAGAGAAAAGAAAAGTTGTCTAAAACCCTAAATCAGTGCAATTCCCAAAGATAATTAATTAATAATTCCGATGACATTAATGCTAGTGCTCAGTGGGTAAGAGTCCCAATGTCTTATAAACAGGACACACGACCTTCAGTGTAAACAAAACCAGTGCCTGAAAAATCAATGATGCACATGAATGATGACATTGGGCAGCTCATGCTCTGAGTACAAAGCAAACTTTAAACAGACTGTACACATGGTCACTTGGAACCTTTGTAAACAATAAATGTAAGTAAGTATCTAAGGACTGGTGCAGTTCTAGCAGAGTACAGGGGGATGTGCCTCAGTATATGCAGTGCTCTTATCTAAAACCCCACTCTGTCTAAGTGCATTATCACTATTCAAGTCTAAAACAAGCTGCTGGTTTGACTTTATCTGTAACCCCTTATGTAGTGTACAGTAAATAAACCATGTGATGCTTCATGAGTTCAGTGTAAGCTGGCCTTCCTGATAATCCAAACCAAATCTAAACAAAATACCTAATAGAAGTATTGCTGCTATATGTGCATTCTATGCGAGCATAGAAATCATAAACATACTGAAGCATATTCATTATATAGAGTAGATATCTGAGTGGTCTGCTCTGACCACAACATTAGTTCATATACTGTACATTTTATATTTACACATCTATGTACATGCACATTTTGTACAATTCTTTAAGTTTTCTTTTGTCATTTGATATGTTTCAATAAAATATTCTGTTGTCCTTCAAATGGACAATTTACAAAAAGCACATCTATGAATCCCCTCTTGGGGCAGTTTTGAACTTCACTTCACAGCGGTGATACAAATCAAAGAACAAAGTGACAATATGCAGTATATCCAGTAAATCTTTTCAGAAAGCATTAACATCTGTACACTTTACAGTAGTTGTCAGGCGTAAAATATGAGTTCTGGGATCTGTCCTCCCTGCACCCCTGTCCCATTAGTGCTGTCCGAGGAGCACTGAAACTGGAACGTGACCTTCCCACACTGCACCTCTGTCATGCCCTCCTGCCCAAAGTAACTCAGCTCGTTCCCGTCCAGCACCACACTGGCTGTGTAGAAGGTGTCCGGCTCTATCTGAACAGGGTACTCAAACCAGACAGGGAATGTGTTACTGGAGCCATCCGAGAAGTATTTACTGAGGTTTTGTCCCAAAAGAACTCCCTGTCTCTTCAATTCGATCTTTGCACTGTACTCGGCTGATCCACAGCTCGAGCCGTACAGGCCAAAGCCTGCAATGAACACTCTCTTGTCCACAGCAAATTGTATACTGTCACAGCGGCCTCTGTACCTCCACTGGTTGCTCCTGTAGGCACACGACTGAAACCTGTGGCAGCGCTGAGGCGCCAGGCCTTTTCTCGGCTGACTCACAAACTGCAGCTCCGGCTTCTTGGCGGCGGTGTACCAGAGGAAGATGTCATTGGTCTCATTAAGAGTCAACACGCCTGACTGCGCTGCGCTATTGGCAAAGTCGTCCAGCGCCATGGCAGGCACTCGGATAAGGTACATGGCCTTGCCCAGTACCTTGCGCTTGTTGTCTGTAGAGGAGGTGATCTCCTGTCTCTGGCACTCGGCCTCTGCCCAGCTGAGTGCCGCTTCAAACACCACAATTTCTTTGGCGTTGAGCGTCTCTCGCTGCAGGATGCTCTCCAGAGTCTGGGAGTCTATGTCACAGAAGCCCTCTGAGCGCAGAGCCAGCTCAGCCTGAGCATCGATCACCTCCCAGCACCTCTGTGTCAGCTCAGGCTCCTCAAACAGACAGCTCTGGGACAACAGCACACATGCGTTCTTTGCACTCAGGCTGGTCTCCAGGAAGTTGACACAGGAGCGCGCCAGATGAGGCACGATGTACTTCTTAGCAGCGTACAGCGTGGCCAGCACTGTGTCTGCGCTCAGGTCGATCTCGTCACAGTAAATGTACCTGTGGAACAGGGACACTAATATGAGCACATGAACAATGAAGGAACTAAAAGAGTTTGAACAAAGGGTTCTTACTTTAGCATGGCCAGAAAAGCGGCTGGTTCCACATCTGGAATACGGATTTCATCCTCATTTTCAGCCAGCTCTCCATAAAACATGGCATGAAACACTGAGCTGCCCACAGCCAAAACATACTGTTGGGAGACAGACAAAGAGCCTGAGAAAATCCATGCTTTAAATAGGAACTGTAAAAATCACATTACTTAGTGCACATGTTCGGCTTTGTGTCTCCAACAAAAGATTAACCTTTTTTGTTTCTCTGTTCTAATCATAGAGTCAGACCTGTTGAGTTTGTTGCACAATTGGAGTCAACCCATTTTCAAAATAATTCAGCGCTGCCAGCAGAAGAAAAAGATAGCAATCACATTAATTAAAAGAGGAACTTCTAATAACAGAACAAAATAGATTACTGCACAAGTTCAATTTGCTCAAATAATGACTTATCAGATATGATGAAACCAAGTGCAAAACTGGGACTATCAGGAAGTAATACATGTATGAATAGCCACTCGAAGGCTATTCCTGTTGTAGTCTTTTCTTGAGCAGGTTGGTCTGAGCACAATGGTGTGTAGGTGGGTCTGTGGGCGGTATATATTTTCTCATGGAGATTCTGCAGATAATGAATCCTGCTGAAATGTAAAACAAATCTAAAATGCAAATCATACTTGTGATTTCCCAGTTCTATTAATCCTTTATTATTCTTCATAAAGTCTTCATCTCAGTCACAGTTGCTTATTTAAGTGTGTAGAGCGCCATATATTTACGTGTATTAGAATATGATCATTTCCACCTTCTGACCTAATCCATTTTACAGATGTCCACATAAATTACTACTATTATCCAGAGGCTGCATCCGCCATATTGAATAGGTATAACTTGGTGAATTAAATCTTAATGCAGGTCTGAACCCCAGCCAAATGGCCATAATAAAGGCGACTGCACTAAATACCATTATATGTCTAAGGAGAGATTGAAGTTTAGTGTTCTCCTTAGTGCATTCACTACAGCAATTTCAAAATTACAACCTTGAAATGACAATGAATGTGAGTGCAGTTTTTAGGGTATTTCTAGGCAACAGAACAAAAGACTCATTTGTATATGCTGAAAAAAGTGCACAACTGTAACATATTGCTGACTTTTGTAATTGGTTTACACATGTTAGCTCAGTTTGCTTATATCAGACATTTTTTCACTTTTCATTGGCCAATTGTGATAGATTTGTTCCTATTGTGTTGAAGAAAATACACGAGATAAATACCTTCCTTCTCTTTTGCAAGGAAAGTGGATGGCACTAGCTGTCCAGGTTATCTTCAAATTGCACTAAAGCCATCAATTACACACAGTACATTTGGGCTCTCATAAATAGAGATAGGAGATGACATTGGCAGGACCTCTGATAGTGGAGACCTGACAGACAAATCTATTTCCATTGCAGCTTAATGACTAAAATGTAATGTGAATGATAAAATCCCATTCAAATGCATGACAGATGATTAATGCTTTCTATAATGAACCTATTATAATGTGTATGGGGGAAATCAGCCAGGCCACATACAGGAAAGCAGTTAACCTTTAGGGCCATAAGCATATTCCTGCAATTATAATAATAACAGCAGCCATTTACACAATCCAGGCAATGTGTCATTTCCTTTCAAAAGCTAAGTATACTGCGATGTATGGCTTTTCGAGGAGGGCTGCTGGTGGTGATTTGGATTAAAAAGTTGAGTAATTGCAGAGCAGTTTTTGAAAGGCGAAAGAGACAAAAGCGGTCCATTCTGAGTGAGATATGACTGCAGAGAGGAGGATATCCCTTCCTCTGTCTCTCCTTCAGCCTCATTTACATAAATAATTGAAGACTGTCTCAAACAGAAAGACAGACACATGGTGCGGAAGTGAGTGCACAAAGCGGTCGACTCCCAATATGGCTGGCAATGGCGAGGTTTATTCTTCTGCTGATATGAGACAAACTATACAATAATTGCACTTGTGTGTTCATTTCCTCCCTGTTGTTGAAGTGTTTTTTTGGTATTGTTGGAGAGATACTTACTCTGTGCCCGGGAAGTCGCTGCGTTCTTCCAGGTTGACCCACCACAAAGTGAACATCTGCCATCAGCTCATTGTTAAACATCACCGAGTTTCTATATAAAGAGGGAGATAAGAAGGGACGTATTCAGTTATTCTAATACACCAGTAGTAGTGCAGTTAAAGAATGTAACAATGACAAAAAGTTAATTTGCGACAGTTTCATTCCTTTTCAAGTCTACACAATGAGCCTGGTATTTCAGAGATCGAAAGTGTGATGCTTTTTTACTATACTCAGTCTGATGATATAGAGAATTATTATTAACATCTACTACTGAAATATATTTGTTTCCATTATTTTATGTTTTGACAAATATGACTTCAGTAATTGATGAGTAAAGTCTGCCAATGAGCCAGCTACACACATATTATTGATTCAAACTTCAGATTATTTAAACTCGTAAATCTATATAAATACCGGCACCAGAGACAATGAACAGGATGGAAAATTCCCACTGTGAAAGACTGTGGCCAACAATAAAGCGTTGTTCATATATTATTGAGTGGTGGAACATGTCACCGCGCTGGGTAAACAGCCCATGATGTTCTGGAGGGACTACAAAGCTGCTCAGACGCACACGTTTAGCTGGACAGCTGGCCTCTTTTATTGATAAGCCAAAGTAAATATTGAGCTTTTCCACAGCGCTTTTACAGCGCGTCAGCCTGTTGTGCAGAGGAGAGGAGCCGGTGCCTGTCCTCTCTGTGCTGTCACAGTCTGCAGGAGAGAGGCTGTAAACACATAATCCTGGAGCAGAGGGAACACCCACTACACTCACAATGTACAGCATCTATACATCCCTGCACTGTAGTACACGTCACATGTATCCTTGGGTTACTTTCACTTTTAAAACAGTCTTACTAAACGGAGGGTCTGATATACTTTTATGCATGCAGACGTACCTCTCTCGTATTGTAGAGTACAGTCCCTGCCAGTTGCAGTTGTGTATGGTGTTGTTGTTGTTGAGATTCTGCTGCTGGTACTGCTGCACAGTGGTGGTGGAGGAGGACTTTTTGGTTGGAAAGATATCGGCTGCCATCTTCTTCTTCTTCTTGCTCCTCAGAGTGATGATCTCATAACAAACAGGGGGCAGCTTGGAGCTGCCACTGGAGTTCCCTTTTTTCGAGCTTTTACTGGACTTGCTCTTGACAGACTCTGGTAGCATTAAAAAGAAAGTCAGACATTTCATGTTCCTCGCCTTGGCATCCACCATGAGTGTGTTGAACTGCCGAGCAGTGGGGCATACAGAGATGGGCCGGTGAAGACAGCTCTACAAGACTTCAGCTGCACCAAAGCCTGCTCCTGTTAGAGGTGACACATTTCTGGAGTGTATCCTGTTTTCACTCCTCCTGCTCCAAAAGCACTTTTCCTCGGTCTAAACTTTGACATGTGGTCGGAGGTGCTGCTGGGGCTCCCATCTTGCTGTCCATGAGAGCTCTTCACATCACTTTACCTCCCTGCGCTCCTCTCTTCCTCTCTTTTTCTTCTCTCTCTCTCCTTCTCCCTGCGCGGAGCTCAGTGTGACAGCTGCAGATTTAGAGGCGCTGCAGTGGTCCTGAGGCAGCCTGCCCCCTCTCTCATCCCCCTCACCGTGTCAGATCTGCGCCTGTCCTCTGTCCGTGTGTCTCTGCAGCGTCTGTCCTGTCCGCTCTGGTCCATGGAGGTCCGCACAGGCTGCGCTGATGCTGCCTGTTCTGCTGACTCCAGCGGCTGAATGAGAGCGCGCAGAGAGATAGACAGACCCCCACCCTCTCACTCAGCTCAGCTCTCTCTGCTCTGGCCAATCCAAGCCTCGCGCTGCTCTGATTGGTCCAGTCCACCGGTGCAGCGCATACTTAAATATGTAATGGACAACGGCTCAATTAAAGTGACAGTCCTGCCCCATAAGGCTGATAAATCCATCATCACTCACAGTGTGCTACACCTGCAGCCACGGCAGGCAGTTTGCTCAACATTAAATCTTCATGTTATGATTCAAAAGGCCAATGCAAATGCACACAGCATGTAAGGATACGATAAGCTTAATTCTTACATTGTTTGAAAAGCTTACATTTTTCTTAATATAATTCCTTTTCTCTTTTTCACGGATTTACAGAAACACTTGAATTAGCTTGTCATTGTTCCCTTGGCTGCTCTGATTGGTCCTATTATCTTTAAGCGGAGCAAAACTGTTTCATGGCAATTTATCATCAATGCCATTCTTTAATCAACAAAATAAATAAAAAAGTTAGTTTGTGACAACATCTGCTTCTCTCTCCTCATTTCTCACCTGTGTGTCCCCAGAGTTGGCACACTGTGTACATTTGACTCACTCCGCAGAAAACATTTGGCACCCCATCATGCATAAGACATTTTAATTTCAACCAAGTCAGACAGTGCCAGTGACCCAAAAACCCACAACACAGCGCTACTTGGATCCTAAATTAACCTTAACATTTCATAATAACAGGTCCAAAATAAAGAGTCAGGACTCTAAAAGGAACTGAACCAAGATGACCCACTAGTTCATTTCAGGTTGGTTACAATGGTCCAAAATTATTCCTCACTTTCCCAACACAATCTCCCATAATTCATGTGTCACAACTTTCATAAGACATGATGGTAAAGCTAAAAACAACTATCATGCTGACAGCACACCAGCAATACTTCCTGCTTCAAGGACAATAAAAAAGAAACACTTTATAATTAGACGCAGACATCGCACAGACCCTGCCTTTACAATTTGTACTAAAATAAATATGAATTTATGGGTTACATGAAAAAATGGATACAGCCTCTTTAAGCAAAGGCCCAATCAAAAGTAACACAGGTTCACTCCAGGACAAAAACCTTTCTTTTGACAAACTAATTCATGGACTAAACTAAAACATATGCTTATCCAAACCAAGACTATTCCATGATCACAGTGGACTCCTCATACCACATGAAGAAAGGTCCTCAATCTGAGAACCACTGTCCAAACCTATTTGCCTCTTGTATGTATTTTTCCATTGCTTTTCTTGTTAAGTCATCTCTTCAGGAGCTTACACAGTGCTTTGAATGTATTACAGCCTTTGCACTATGTATAATGCATGGGCTTCTTATGCTCCTCAGCTTTGGCACTACGCTATTTTAAGTGCTGACACGATTTAGCTCTTTGCTTGAGGAAGAAATATTATGAAATGGTTCCCTTCTTAGTTATAATCTGTTTGTTCATTTTCCACTGACTGTTAATGTGTTGTTTTTTGGAATTAGACCAGTTTTATATTGCTTTGAAAAGTACTCTAATGCAGGAGACGATGGTGTGGCATTGAAAAGGCCTTGCTTGAACTGTTGTCACTCTATTGATTTGGGCATAAAGCCTAATTAACTGTCTTGGGCTGAGAAGCATTTGGCCACAAAGCCCCTTGATACAGTGCACTGTCGAACGGGGGGGATTTGCTATGGTAACATTACCACCGGGCACCATACTCTCAAATTGCAGGCCACTAGAGATGTTTCCAAGGTAACCACATCCACAAGGAGCAGGAGCATCAGAAATGGAGAACAAAAAAAAAACCAAAAAAAACAACAACAATCAGGTCTAAATCGGGTCATACGGACAATGCATTATCTAAGAAGGGAATTCAAAAATGTTGGGGCATTAATACTGAACAAATTGCAATGTTTTTTAATCACTATAAAACCTATTACATAAAACAATATTCAGTGTTACACCTGACATGTTTGATACGATTTAGTAACACATGTCTGAAAAAACTGGGACATGGATGACAAAAAAAGAAAAGCAAATGCTAAAAGGTCATGGGGTCATATGCTTGGATCAAAAAAATACTAAATACATCATTATTTAAAGAAACATAATTACTACCATCATCATCAACAACTATGTCTTCTTATTTTTTACAAACCCAGATGTTGTTTGATTCTTACATTTTGATGTTCAAGGTGGATTATGTAACTTTACTAAAGGAGAGTGGTCACCTTCAGTGCTACATGGAGGTGCTATTGCGTTGACCGGAATGTTCCACAGTATGTTATTAAACTGTCTTAAATTTATTCGATCACGTGTCATGCTCATAAATTCCTTTAAAAACATGCATTCTTACTCTGAGCATGGACACCTCTCCTCAGACCTCACCTGTAACACTGTCAAAACAATCAAAGCATGTCCATGGAAACAAACAGGTGGACCCATCACCAGAAATGTTACATAGTGCACCATTAAACAAAGAATGCGAATAATTTTTGCAGCATCATGTGCTGCACTGTGCCAAGTATACCATCGTTTATTTTTGTTTATGTACAAAAACAGTCTATAGTTTGTGTTCTTTTTAATCTGGTCCTTTGAGCTCTTGGACTCGGTTCAGACCCACAAACCCTGCATCTATTGATCTTGTGTTTTCTCTACTGTCCTTAAGCATTTTCTGTGCTAAAATTACTCTGTGAATCACTATGTTTCCAGGAGCTAGTTTTATTTACTGGGATAATGTCAAATTATTTATAACACTGTAAAAAAGACAAACAAATGCCTATAGTTTTTTTATTATTATTATTTTTTTTTATAAAGATATAGATTACTACTGTATGGTCACAGATTGTTGGAGACTCAAGCTCTTTAGAGGTCTCGGATGGACTGAGCCACTCTGTCCCCATTAATAGCTTTAACTTATCTTTTTTCTTCCAGTTTCATTCCCTAAAGTATTTTTTATTGTTTGTTTGTATTGCTTTTACTTTGAGTGCATCCTTGAGTACATCCCCATTGCATTGTGAATGAATTCGGGCTACATGGCGGCATTGTATATGGGCCAAATCCTCCATGTAATTTCTTCTTCTTTTTCCTTTGCGTAAAATGATTAACCCATTATCCAAACAATCCGATATATTGTAAAAAAAAAAAAAAAAAAAAAAGAGAGTCTTTGTTGAATAGTATTTTGCACTATGTACATATATATCTTCTTTTTACTTTAAATTCTATTATTTAAATGTTTGTATATTTGTAAACATTGTCTTGACTTTGTGAGATGTAGATATAATCCAAACCAATTTCCTATCACATCACCTAATTGACTTTTGTTTTCAGAAATCAAGAACTATTGAACCTTCTCCCAGCTCCTTGATTACCTTTAGTACTATTATCAAAGCGCACATATAAAGTCAATGGATGGTGGAGCATCAAATCATACGGCTGTGTCAAACCAGTGTCTGACCCCACAGCCGGGGCGGGACACAAGATAAATATGGTGTCTTTCCATATTAACCTGGATGTAGCTCTGCTCTGTGTAATTGCATTTCTCTCCATTCATCAGCACAAAACGTAATCTTGTTTTTCACACATCCACCGAGTGAGAGAAGGAGTACTGATGTTGTTGTCACGGCGTCATTGCACCTTTGTCTCACACTTCACCTCAGACAGGGCCCGGATTCTTATAAACAAGTTAAATTACCTCAACAGCAATTTTGCCCAATTTGCTGACGATTCAAGATTATAACGTATCCGAAATCTTGCAAAATTCTGAAAATGAACTGTGTTAAATATGTACAATTTAACTTTTATGGTCGCGGCATCTGCTTGTCTCCATGGAGATATTATTGCTTTGCCTGAAGTATGCACGGTATGACTTTAGATATATATAGCATTTATTCATCACAGGTGTTTTTAGTGCTCAAAAATAGAAAAATTCCTTCGGTGAATAGAGGCAGCTCTCCACAGATCTGAACTGTGATGATAGATTACAGATTATATAACTGATAGATGATAGATGATAGATAGGTTTAATCACCATCAATTGTAGACAAAGCAATAATATTTCAGTGGAGGCAAACAGGTGGCAAATATTACTCAGTGAGAATCCAGTTTTATTATTATTATTATTATTATTATTATTATTATTATTATTATTATTATTATTATTATTATTATTTATGCAACAAAAACATCTGTAACTGAATAAATGCAAGACAGAAATTTAACACCGCTTTTGGGGCATTCAAGGCAAAGCAATAACATCTTCCATGGTGACAAGCAGGTAGCGTACACCCCGCCAGAAAAGTTACACAGTGCACCTTTAAAGGCCCATGCAAACTGTTGTGTGTGTGTTGTGACTCAGATGACTAAACTGAGCGCTCATATTTGGTTTCAGTCCTTGGACAGACTTCAAAGCCGGCCGTAAGAGACAGAAGTCCAGCTGTGCTTTTGTGAGGGCTCCTGATGACAGCAGCACAAACACCTTTATCTTCAAAAGAGTTTTACTT